CGGTAAATCTACGTAAAAACTACGGTAAAGCTACGTAAAAACTACGGTAAACCTACGGTAAATCTACGTAAAAACTACGTAAAAACTACGGTAAATCTACGTAAAAACTACGGTAAAGCTACGTAAAAACTACGGTAAAATTCCGGTAACGCATTGTCAAAACTACGTAAAATCTACGGTAGAGCTACGTTACGGGTAAGCTTACGGGTAAAGCTAACTTACAGGACGCACGCATCGCGCGGCTTGCGTTGAAGTTGAGTTGACAGTGCCCCCACCCAACCCGGCAGCCAGCAACTCTGTGGCCGCAAGAATTACCACGCGAGAGAGGATCGGTTGGAATGTGGAACAGACCGACGAGTGCATTCCGCTGTCAAGCGGTGACAACTTTGGCACCTTTATCGGCGTGCATAGTAGGACAACATATGGGAGTACCGCCGCCGCTCGCAAGAATTCAACAGGTAAATATGTGATGATAGCGTACATTGCTCTACGCGCTAACGCTATACACGCGAGCGATAGCGGCAGCAAGCAGCAAGTACGATCGATTCACGGCGAATCAAACCCAAGATGTTATATATATATATATATATATAGATATATATATAACATATATAAATAATATATATATATATATATATATATTATTTATTATGCGTGAATTGATGGATAAATGAATGGGTGGATGGATGGATGGATGGATGAATGAATGGGTGATAAGACGGAACGATGCACATGCACACACAAGCGCGCAGATATCTAGCTAGATAGTTAGTTATACTCACGTTGTTTGCTACGGGGTTCCCTCGGCCCGTCCACGGTCACCTTGATAGCCTTGTGATAAGTTGCAACCTGCGGCGGACATGTTCCAACTATGATGGTCAGGTTGAAGCTTTTACCTACAACAGACAACGCCCTCTATTATCACTGCTCTTGTGTCTCGTACATAAACTAAGATACTTACATGTGTTACGTGGACATGTGTTATCATCTCTCTCTTCCCCCTCTCTCTCTCTCTTTCTCTCTCTCTTCCGTCCTTCCTTTTTCGCTCTCGTGCTTGCTTTTCCGTTTTAGCACTCTGTCTCTATCACACTCTACGGATCTACGAAAGGTGAAACCTGCTGCTGCTGCTGCTGCTGCTACTGCTGCTGCTGCTGCTGCTGCTGCTGCTGCTGCTGCTGCTGCTGCTGCTGCTGCTGCTGCTGCTGATACTACTGCGGAAACTTCTGTCCCGGACCCGGATACGTCAGAACCTCATGTAATGCCGTGCATTTCGAGTTATTTTTATCATTGCTAACAATTAATCGTAGTAGAGGAGTAAACGCAGCCGCGAGGCACACGTGATGGCGTTGTTACAGAGTGCCCGCTCTCCCTCTCTCTCTCTCTCTCTCTCTCTCTCTCTCTCTCTCTCTCTCTCTCTTTCTCTCTCCCTCTCTCACAACACACACACACACACACACACACACACAACACACACACACACACACACAGCACACACACACACACAGCACACCACGCACGCCACGCACCGCGCACGCACGCACGCCACGCACGCACGCCACGCGCACGCACGCACTCCCGACCAGCACCTATATGACCCTATATCTATTGCCTATTCTAAATCATAAAAGAACGGCCTACGCGCCCCGGCGAGGCTACACAATCCATTGAACAAACCCACGATCCGCAACCACAACAGCTGCCACGGTTACCGCGAATACTAGCGCCTAGCCCGAACCATAAAACCACGCATTTAGCAAAAACACGCTGCAGAACATTAACGTCGCGAGCCCATGCCAGCCAGATTTGCCGGGGCGCTGAACAGTCTGGAAACTGGGGCGCTCGTTTGAATCTAGATGCCTGTCATCACATGGCCGTCACGACCTGTGCCCATGCAACAGCCATGAAGCCGCGACGCACGCCAACGACAAACGCCCTGTGACGCACCCACAGGAACATATTAAATTGACTGCGGCTTTCTCAAATGCAATCCCGTATCGTTACCGCTGACGTAAATCATTCTCCGAGCACTCGGCTGCGCTAATCGTCGACCTTTATCGCGCAAGAATCAACCGCGCTAGTTTTGTGGACATACATGTAAACCAATCTAACTTGAAATGCCAGATCCCCGTGCAGCATCAATGCTGAGAACGGCATGTATCGTGCGAGCCTTCTATGACACTGTTACGCTCTTCTACTATGCCCCACTTCCGGTGGTTATGCAATTGAGTGCCGGCTCCCGAGAACCGCGTCCAAGAAAATCATGAGAACGGGTCGCCGCTAAAAAACACGTGAAAATCCGGGCAGCTTTGCTACGCGCCGCTGCCCACCGACGTCGCATGCTGATACTCAGAGATAGTGGCGCGGAATCCCAGCGGCCTGCCTCATTACGCCACCCGCGTTTGAAAACGAAGCAATCCGCCTAGGTACACACGACGCTAGAGTAGAGAGAGGAGAGCTGCGTCGCCTTCTCCGCCGGCTGCCTGCGCCGCGGCGGGCAGTTCCGCCGTCGGCGCGGAGCGCTTAGGCCAAGCAAGCCCAGCAGGGGCGTCAAAATTACACGAAGGCAAAACCCACAGCGCAGCGTCATCTGTGCCTGCGGGGTGTGCGCCATCTGTCCGCGCCTTCGAATCCCAGCAGCAACCGCTAGTAAGCGTGAAACTGCCAGCCGCAAGGCCGCCCACGAGTCGGTGCGCGCGCACCCCGGGGGGCGGGCGTCCTGGTGTGCTCGTCCGCTGCGTGCGCTCGCCACTGTGCGGGTGTCGCTGTGCGATGTCGGCCCCGGACCGCCCCGGCGGCCCGCGCGCGACGGTCGGGGAGGGGGGGCTGTGGGTGCGCGCCGCGCGCAGTGCATCGTTGGTGCTGTAGCTGCTCGGTGTGTGGTTGCTCGTGCTCGGGTGGCGTGCCAGGCGTCGGTGCGTCGCGCGCCACGTCGCATTGTGTTGTGTGTGTGGTGTGTCGGCGCGCGCTGTGTGCTATGCATCTCCC